AATTTCCTCGTTTGTAAAGTGGAGATAATAACAGCTTTTGCCTTCCAGGGTAGTTCTCAGGAGCAAGTGAAATAATGCATAAAGCATTTGATAAATGCCAGCTCTGATTGCCATGGAGGGGTCCACAGTCCAAGCATTTACCATCTGTGAGCTGCAGGAACGAGTATAAATTGGGTGCTACCTGCACTATGGAAGGGACTTCCCACACCAAAAAAAAAAAAAAAATCCAAGTACTTCAGTGGTCATCACATTGGTCTGAGCCCTGGCTAGAGTCTGCTACAGGGGGCAGGGCTTCAGCCATCCACAGTGGTCCCCTGGTTCGATTTCTAGGGTCGATGGAAATGTAGGGGTGTTCCCTGTCCCAGGTGCTTGGGAGTTAAGGAAAGTGAGCCCCAGTATGTTTGAATTTCCTACCTTGTGTTCACATCAGGGACCCAGATTCAGGCAACACTTTTCATTGTGGTTCTTCTTTAAATTAATAAAATGATTTTCCTTCACAGCATAAGAAGCCAAAACGTTGATTCATGAATTTGTTAATTGTTGTCCCCAGAACCAGAATTAGACAATTCAGTCTAACCCACCCAGCCCGGCTTCCTTTGCAGATAGACTGCCACCGTTGACCAAGATGGCATTTTCTATAGAGTTCATTCTTCATTCGTGAGCTTTCTGTGTAGTCTGGACTTAAGTGTTTGCTTTTGATTATGCTTCTCCCATCAGCTGGAGTTGAGGTTGGGCACTAGGCTACTTTAACTTGGAAAGTTGAGCAGATCTCAGTGTTCCAGGAAGAAGGGATCCTCGTGCGGGCTCCATGATTTTAAAATGTGAAAAGGAGGGTATGTGAGCAATTACAAGGCTTTAGAAAATGCTCTGAAAAGCAGAGCTGTCACCCCAGGTGAGCTCAGAAGGTAGATGCAGTTCGTTAAAGGGAAGGGCGACTTTTTTATGGCTTGGCATTTTGAAGTCCTCCATCGTGACGATTAGAATAACTCAGTAATCATTAGCCAGCTCTAAGATGTGGCTGGAAAGGTCAAGCAGGCATCAGAGGAAAAAGGGGAGGTTCTTTGATTCCCTTTCCCTAAAATATGTCTTTGCAGAGGCCTGATGGATGACAAAAGTTGGCTTGGGAAATGCATCTGAGGCGAGGGTGGGGATCTGTTTGGTGAGCTGCAGCTGCCAAAAACAGAGACAAGCATGTCTGTGGCCACAGGAAGTGGGAGTGTTTGCCCGCTTGACCCCCTGCCCATGAGAAGGGAAAGGAAAGACTGTCCTGCAGAGGAGGCCCCAAGGTCTGGGGCCTGCGGCCTTTCACCAGGGCAGAGAGGCAGGCATCCCTCGCGGTCCAGCAGCAGCAGGCTGGAGCCGGCCTTCGAGAGGTAATTTAATTAGTGTTGATCATGACTCCAGATGATGGTGATTTGATAAGGAATAATTTAGTACTTAACAGCCTTTTACATGCACCAACTCCATGTGGCAAGGTAAAGCAAATTGTAGAAAATGAATGTGCTGCTCTCACTCATAGCCCTGCTCACAAGCTGGAAAAGTGCCTGTTGTCAGCGGCTGCTTAGCCATGGTGGAAGGAGGTGGGGCGGGGGCTGGACAAGACCTCCCAGGTCACAGGCCCAGAGCAGGGGTGCTGGGTGCATACTGGGAGGCCAAGCCTACTCTCCTTCTATGAAGCCAAGAGGGTATAGAGTCAGAGGTGGAGAACTGGCCCCAGTCTTGGAATTCATCAGATCAGAGGAATGGGGTATTTGGGATTTCAGGTGCCTCTAAAATCCTTCTTTCTCCAAATGAGGAAACTGAGACCCAAAGCAGTTAGAGGATCTGAGATGGAGAATGGGACTGACTTCAGGGTCTTTCTGTCTGATTGCCTCCTCATACACAGAAGGAAACTGAGGCTAAAGTGGGTAGAGGGTCGTAGGACTAGAGCTGGATGGGCCTTCGAGGCCCAAAGTAATTCAGCCCTTTCTGCACTAAAGGGAGGCACAAAGACAGCCTAAATGGAGAACAAGATGAACCCTGAGCGTTTAGTCTAAACCTCTCCTTCTACCTTGGGAGACATGGGGGCCAAGGGTGAGCTGCAGCTTTGAACCCATGTCCTCTTCCAAGCCAGCCATTCTCTCTCCTCCCTCCTCTCTCCCTTCTCCTCTTTCTCTCTTTTTTTCTCTCCTTTCTCTCTCCTCCCTCCTCTCTC